CACATACTTAACGTCTTATACATAACAGAGAAATTACGGTTTTCTCGGTTTTTTTTCAGTGTTTTCGGTTTTTCGTGAATTTTTCGACAACCCCTAATGGTAATTATATCATTCTTAACTTTTTATACGTAACAGAGAAAGAACGATTTTTCGTTTTTTTTTACTTTTTGCAGTATTTCGTGATTTTCTCCACAAAGATAATTACATCAACGACCACTCATATGAAAGCTGAATGTCTCAACTTTCCAACGCGCCTACATATAGCTTCTAACTGAATAAACAGGAAATTCAATAAATTTAACTTGCATTAGTAGTGTGGCAGCTGTAACTTGCTTTCGCAAATAACTTTCTTATTAATTGACCAAAACTATCTTAAGCAAAAGAATTATGCTTTAAAACTTTATATTAAATGCAACAAAAGTTACGAAATTTGCGCGAAATTAAGAAAAACGTGAAAACTTTTCGGATCTCAGTAATTTGCGTAAAGTATTTGGGGGTTGCAAAAAAATAATGACAGATCAATCTTCGTTGTTTTTCTACACCTACCCATTCTTCGGGGGGTCGCAGAAACTTTTTATGTCCAAAAGGTGGTGGCGGACCAAAAAGTTTGAGAATCACTGATATAATCAGTAAAAGGATTTAGAACGTAGGGTTCATTAAAGAGACAATAACGTGGTTTCAATAAGATAATTGAGGAACAAATACTTAGCCAAATCACTGATCATAAGCCGAGCCACAAGTACGCTTGTTTAAATCAATGCTGTTGGGGAAGGCATAATAAGCCCATTAAACAATGGACGATAATGATGTATGTTAGTTACATTTTACAATTGAGAGGATGAATGATAAATTGCCGTGTACTTCAGAGGCATTGCACTAGCAATTGTAACGTGTTATATAATAAACGCATCTTTCTATTAATTTGTCCTTTGTCCCAAAATAAACTAATTATACTTGATGATCTAAATACATTAAATCTAGATGTTATTAATTATTATTACAGTATAACGTTGTATAAAAATATTGTCCCAAGCAAAAAGATATTTTTTTGCTAATTGACAAAATGTTGTCAAATAATTTGCATGTCTATGTGTTCACATTTGTGAACACACTGACCTCAAGTGACCGGGCAGTAATTGCTCAAACACATTTCCTAATAGGGGAGAGAACGGAAATCCATGGGGGACCCTAATACAAACTAAATTTGCAATAAAACTATCATAGCATGATGAACCAGCACAAATCACATCGAAAGTTGAATTGCATCAAAAACGTTCATACTATCAATGTGGTGGCATCATGTGATCAATTCAGATGTCTACTGTCAACAACTAATGAAACTGGAGAGAGAAATCAAAGAAAAATAGTAAGGATTAGCAAATCGTGTTCCACCAAAACAATGTAAATCCTCAGACATCTTTGGTAACTCGTGGGATAGGTAATAATAGATCATTTATTGCAACACTTATAAAATTACATAAATAATTTCAGACACAAATCCGGACTGATCGAAGTAGCACTATGCGAGGCATTGGTATAAACTGCACATGGCTTTATAAGTTACAAGGTGCCCTGTGTGGAAAATTATATAATAAAATACATGAAGGGGGAACCAAAGACCATTTATAGTTACTTGAGTTTGTTAAGAAACGTTTATTGCCTATTAAGTCTGCAAATCTTCTATTGTGCATATGCATTCAATCATAAACGACTTCTGCAATAATATTATTACATTTACACTAAGTTGTTGCACATGGTTACCTCGGAAATCTCCGAGCATAAAACTATCAAACACTTATTCGTTAAAATAGAAGGCTTTCATAAACTGTTTGTTTGTTGTTAGTTTAAATTGACTTTAAGTTGTAATGATGTAAATGTGTATTTGGACCAATTTTTAAATCTATTTTCTTTATTATTAACTTAAATTTTCCATTTCAAAGCAGGAAATTTCTTTAATATAGAAAACTAAAAACCCAATTGGCAATTGGACAAAATTTTCTTTAATTTACAATATAACTTTTCATTCATTGTAACATACGGGAAACGTTTTTAATATTCGGGAAACGGAAAATATAAATTTAAAAAAAAAATTCAATTGAGCACAGAAGTTTAAAAGAAATGCGTTCTCAGATTGGTGTGTTCATGAGTCTACTAATTCTTTAGTATCATTGTGTCTACTTTTAGTGATTGCCACTCTTTCCGCCACAGTAAAGTTAGCCAGTGCCGGTCTACGACAGTATATAATAATGAGGCGTAGCAGATGAACGGACGGCAAATCATCTTGTCTGTGTGTGATTTCAAGTTTAAACCCTGAAATGTAGCTTTCATAATACAGAAATGTCTTGCATAGTGCGGGTTATCGGTTTCGTCAATATCCCTGTTTAAAACCGGACTAATCGAATACTTTAACATAAAAAGAGATTTGATTATATAATCGATTTTTATTTTGAAAATTAAAAAAAACAGACTGTAGTGAATCCGGACTGATCGAAGCCATAATATTGCTGTACATTTAAAATATAATTAAGTTCCTGATTATATATTACACCGAGACAGGAATACTACATGTGGTGAATTCGATGAAAGGGTATGAAGAGCTTGAAACTGGATGGATTTAAACCATATGTCATTATTATTTTTAATTATGTCTTGTAGTGTTTTATTTTTACATTCTATTCCTATGAAAATTAAATAAATCTTATAGCGGTTGACATTTGTTTTATTTTTTTTAAACTTTCCCTATGTTGGTTGGTTGTCTCTGTAGTTAACGTCAGTGGAAATTTGATGCGCTGCAGTTCCACTATTCCCTTTCTCTACGTATCTGTTGATATCCTTAACATTGTCGACTTGATTGGAGAACTTCATCCATGTGACTGTCCATTCATGATGAACTATTGTTGCAAGCACCGATGGAGCTCGCAAAGGGCATGGGTTTCAACCAGCATTCACAAACTTATGAGAAAGACGACTTAAGCATTCGGCTATCTAAATAAAAATGTTTTGATTAACTTTACCTAACATTTTATAAAAAGCCTAGGTAACTCATAAAAATTTCATTAAAATTATTTTTATATACAACAATACTTTGCATACTGTGAATAATTGATTCTGTTTGAGGTATTTGATAAATTTCATTATAATACTCAATGTTCACATTGATGAATAAAATTATACGAGATAAAATAATATAATATCGGATTATACATTTTGCCAGTAACGTAGCTGTTGAAGGTTGAAGAAGGTTTGTTGTGTACAAATTCTATACAATAACGTTTGATGGAGAAGTCTCGAATTACGGATTATTCCACAATAAAATGCGATTAAAAGCAACAAAAATAATTCTAAATGCAGTTATAAAAGCCTATCTAAAGTGCATAACAAAGTATACACTTATAACGCACAACTTTATCAATTACGTTTCTTATTTGTATAGCAATCATCTTCAACAAAGGTTCAATTTGCATTATATTTTTTGCGTTAGAGTGTGCGTTTATTAAGGGCACTTATAAACGGTATATGAAAGACGCGCTGGCATTGCTTCTGGTGCAGTCGCATTTTGGCACTTGATAAAAACATACCGTGGTACATACTCAGCAAACGATGCAGCTCTTTCGTATAATCTACTGCTTCACCCTGTGGCTTCTGTGCCTTCATTTTGTATTGGGTTCGTTAAGTATAATTTTTGTTTATACTAAATATTACAACTAAATTCAAAATGATTTTTCCAGGCAAGAAAGAGTCGTATTGCGAAAAGACTCTTGATTGTAATGGACCGAATACATTGTGCATCAAAAATCGGTGCATCTGCATTAAGTAAGTAAAATTACTTATAGAAATATTAGACATACAATTGCGGAAAAACGTGATTTAGACTGCATTTATTGTCGTTCAAAATATTTAATAGTTTCATAAAAGTACTGAAATAATCCCATTTCAGGAGTCACAAATGGGATGAGGATGGTAATGATTGCGACACAGAATCAACCTCTGAGTCTCCAATACAAAATAGACCAGAACCTGACGGTATATAATTTATTTTCTAATTTCGCAAAAGATTGTACTTTTATAGAATATCATTTTTTTTATCCATATTTTGCAGTAGGTTTCGGTATCTCCTTAGAGATGACAATTTAATCGGTAACTTAAACAAAATTCTCATTCTGAAAATAAGATAATTATTTTATAACAAAAATTATTTTATTCTTCCAAATAATAGTTAATAGATTTATAAAGTAATGAGAAATAAAGTAAGTTTATCGATGAAAGTCATGAAAATCTAAAGGTCCGAATTTCCTAATGTTTGTAATCGAAATTATATAATAAGTGAATCATGAGAGTAGCTCGATCTTTCAACGTTTGGTTTTTGTTCATAGGCTTCTTAACGATCTCAACAGGACATACACTGGAAACCTTCAATATACACGTCGTAAACTTTGACCTATGAACATGTTTGCTTTAAGCATATCTTTCATTAAGCTTGAAAAACAATATATATATATCAGTAGGAATAGTTATGATAGTTAGGATTTAATTAAATATATTCTTTTAGTTGTCAAGGTACATGTGCAGGACGACAAGAAATTATCAATATCCTTTTACAAATCTGCAAGTTTCTTCGCATCCTACACCTTCATCATATCCTGTGTTATAATTAGTATATTCACGTGCTACGTAAAGATCTTGTAAGTTCTTGTCCAAATCACAGTAATTATATTTATTCTACCTCTTATTCCAGAGCCGTGCGCCGTTGGCAAATGCGTTTACGTGAGATCAGACACATCAATAATTATGTCTAAACAGAAATATGCAAACAAAAACTTCTATTGAAACAATTATATAAAAAAATATACTTAATTTTTTCGGTGCAGCATTTTCTTTATAATTATTGTATCTGTTGTCAAACACGCATTCCGCTATTCGTAAAAATCTAATTTCCAGGGCAGTCAATAGCCCTTTGTAACAGTTAATCTTTTTTTTTACTTTTATTATTGTTATGAATTAATATGTTTAATTTTGTTTTTAATAATCTTTATAGTAACATAAAGATTATTATAATTTCTCAAAAAAAATATTTGCTAAAACTTAGAATTTATACGTATATATAATTTAGGATTACTTTTTTTATTATATAATTTTCTTCTCATTTATAATAATGAAATCATTTTCTTTTTTAAATCAATAAAAAAAAACTTTGTTGACTCAATGTTTGTTTTATTTAAAAAAAAATCCTATTTATATAAATAGAAATAATTAGATCATTTTTTAGTAATTTATTATATTTTATTTTTCAATAGAAAAGTAATGAAGAAATTTCAAATACTTATTTAAAATATATTATTTATATAATAATTAAAAAAAGACTCAACTCGTTATTTCACAAATGTATACTTTTTATTTACTAAATCTATAATTTCATATGCTTAATACAATGATGGTGAAACTTTTGGGATCGGTGTGTCAAAATTCGGAAAAAACATATCTTAATTCCAATATTTTGACATTTTGTCATGTCAATCAAAAGATTACGTCATGTCATTCGAACTAACGTACACATATCCATATTATATATATATACAATGCAAGCTCACACAGAAGTCAAATAGTTCCGATATTTGTACATTAGTTCAAAAATAACGTATTAAATTATTGTAATGATATATAAAGGGTGTCCCAAAATTAACGCAAGATTTGAATTTGCCGCCATTTGTGCAGTAAAGTGTTATGTTTTTTTAAGGGATTAAAAATGTTCAATTTAGTGGTTCATGAGGTGGACTGGTGTAAAGCACATGTTAGAATATTTGTATTTACAAGACACGTGTTTCTTGATTCTTAAAAATTAACATTATATAGTCTTATAATATAAAAGCAATACAAACTTTCAATTTCTCAATAATTTAAACAGAAAGAACTACATAATTTCTATTGACATAATTGTACGTTCTTACGGTTAATTTGACACGAGGATCATAAATAATGTACGTACTATAGAATGTACGTTAAGTGAATGCTAACTATCTAACAACGTTTGAATTCAAGGTTTCGAATTTGATTACCTAACAAAAACTTATTCTAAATGCAGCTATAAAAGAGGATCTAAAGCGCACAACAAAGTATACAATTATAATGCACGAGCCTATCAATTCCTATTTGTATCGCTATCATCTTCAACAAAGACCCAATTTGCATCATATATTTTTTGCATTAGAGTATGCGTTTATTAAGGGCGCTGTCACTTAATCACCATATATGAAAGACGCGCTAGGATTGCTTTCGGTGCAGTCGCATTTTGGCACTTGATAAAATACATTCGGAGCAGTCAGACACCATGCAACTCTTCCGAATATTCAACTATTTTGCATTGTGTCTTCTATGCTTCCCTCTTGCGTTGGGTTCATTAGGTATGCATTTAACTTCTATTAAATATAAGAACAATATAGATAAACGCGTTTGTAGGCCTTAGCGAGACCTACTGCGAGAAAACACTGGATTGTAATGGACCGAATACACTATGTATTAAAAACCGTTGCATCTGCATCAAGTAAGTCAATTCTATTAGTAATTCATTCAAACATCAACGAATAACTGAATTATTTAAACAAAAATCGACATTTTGAGTGTCAAAATACTGTAAACATTTGCAATTTTATTTCAGGAGTCACAAATGGGACGAAGAAGGTTATGAATGCGGCATAGATTTCACCACTGAATCTCCTGAACAAAATAAATCAGAACCTGATGGTATTTATTTCATTTCAATAAAATATTTTTATTTAATCTAACTCAATTTTCTTTGCTATAGGTTTCTTGTATTTATTTTGCAATTATTATTTTTCAGTTTGAATTCACTATTAAAAATTAATTTAAAAAAAATCATTAAGAATTTTAACAGCTTTTCGTAGTAGTTGCTATATAGATCATTATAGCAGTAGGCATAGTTATGATAGTTAACTTTTAATGAAATATATTCTTCCAGTTGTCAAGGTACATGTGCAGGATGATAAGAAAGTACCAATTTCATTTTACAAATCTGCTAGTTTCTTCGCATCCTACACCTTCATCATATCCTGTGTTATAATTAGTATATTCACGTGCTACCTAAAGATCTTGTAAGTTCTCATCTACCGTATTTTCAAGTATAAAACGCACTTTTTTTCGAAAATTTGCATTTTATACTTGTGGAAATACGATAAATAATAACAATTATATTAATACTAAATTTCATTTCAGAGCCGTGCGACGTTGGCAAATGCGTTTACGTGAGATTAGACACATCAATAGTTATGTCTAAATCAAGAAACGCGAATAACGGGAAAACTATAGAATCAAGTATTCAATATGAATCTTTTCTTTCGGTCTTTAAAAACTATAAAAAAAATTAAATATTAATTTTGTTTTCTTCTCTTAAACAAAACTATTTTAGAAACATTTTTAGTCTTTATAGCAAATTATTTTATAATTAATACATATAATATGTGTGAACAAATTATATTCTACTTATTTATATTAAAGAAAAGAAATTGAAAATAAATAAAAAGAGTCCTTAATTCCTTTATTTTACCTACTTCATGACTACCTTTAATTATGTCTTAACGTTTTTGAAAGTAAAATTATGTTGATTTGTCGTATGAAGTTTATATATAGAGTAAGTGCTCAGTTAACGTACACACGTGTCTCTTCGTTCGCACAAGCGTACTCAGGGTTTAAATGAACGTACTTATTTCCTTAAGAAATATCAATTGTGTATCTTATATTTATTTATAGTTTTGTGATGTTATTTATATATTTATTAAAATGAGAAAATACAACTGAAAACGCCTTAACCGGAAGTGAATAATTAAATATACAAAAAGGTCCTGATTGAGCACTGAGCTCAATGTACGTTAGTCGGATCCTTAAGCGCTCAGTTAACATCGTTCACACGAACGTACTTATTACCATAACTATTATTTTTAATGGTGTATCTAATATATATAATATTTGATGTTTATTAATATTCTTTCTGGAATAAGAAAAGAAAACTCATAAAGTCTTTACGAAAGTGAAAAATAAAATATTAATGATTCGTAAACAGTTGGACTTGATTTTAATGTACGTTCGATTGAATTTGTACGTTAGTTGGATTAAATGGCCTTAAATAAGCATGTGCCTATTATCGAATATACTTTAAAAGGATGTGCTTTAAGTGAGCGCCTATGTAATAACATTTGATTGAAAAATTTAGAACTACGCATCCCTCCACTATTATATTCGATTTAAAGCAACTAAACTAATTCTAAATGCAACAATCAAATGATACAAAGTGCACCATAAATTATATAAATGCAATGTACAAGTGAATCAATTCCGATTCTTATTTGTATCTCTATCATCCTTAACAAAGCGTCAATTGACAACACAATTTTTGCATTAGAGTTTGCCTTTATTAAGGGCACTGCCACTTAACCACCGTCTATGAAAGACGGGCAGGATTTGCATTCGGTGCAGTCGCATTTTAGCTCTTGTACAAATACATTCAGTATAGTCAGCAGCAACGATGCAGCTCTTCCAAAGTCTCTTCTGTCTCACCCTATGCCTCCTGTGTCTGCATTTGGCAACAGGTTCGGTAAAAATGAACTTTATCAAATAGAAGAACTAAAAAGATTTGTTTCAGGCATGGAAAAGAACTACTGTGAGAATACACTAGATTGCAACGGGCCGAATACTATCTGCATCAAAAACCGGTGCATGTGCATCAAGTAAGTCAATTTTCTTTTTATATAAGCTCTACACATTTCCGAGTGCGGAAAAACGTCATTTTGACTGCATATCGTTTCGCTCTTGGTATGCAAAGTATTGCATAAATTTGCGAAGATGTACAGAAATGATTACATTCTAGGAGTAGCAAATGGGATGAGGACAACTATGAATGCGACACAGGTTCTACTGCCGAATCTCCTGCGCAGAAAAGACCGGAACCTGACGGTACTTATTTCTTTTATTTATTACATATTTTTGCACATTTCACAAATATACATTTTCCGATGGGTTTCGCTATCTCGTTAAAAATGACAATTTATTCGGTAACATAACACAATTCTGCTAATTATTTTACTTCTCATGATAGACAGTTTTCATAATATTTTTATTTCTAATACAATCACTTTCTAAGTTTATTCTAATTTTTTTCCTATATTTTATTTTTGAAAAATAAATACCAAAGTCATATATTTGTTAACATTCATTTAATGTTTACTAAAAGCTTAATATTTTTTTAGATATTAATCCTTTTTTATCCTTGTACATATTTTTGCACTTTTAAAAAATATAATAATTCTCTTACATTTTCTCACAAAGTATCTGATATAAATTTCTATATAAAATGTGCTAGTATCGATTCCGCACAGATTGAAACCAGACTATTCAAGGACATTAAAACTAATTGTATATTGATTCTTTTAAAATTAGTTTGTTTCGAAATTTTCAATCTATACTATACTGAATCCGACTGATCAAATCCACATTTTGTGAGGTATTGTTGTATATCTTTTTAAATAAATAATTTTGTATTCAGTATATTTTCATTCACTAATATTTATTGTATACATTAATTTATTATCTAAATTTTATATTATCCTTGTAAACTTTGTGTGTGTCTGTCTCTAAAGAATCCTTCAATTGCTTTTATGACTAAGTATATTAAAGTTAACTTTTGAAACAATGAAGATTTTGTGACTTATTTGATATTAACTGAATTGTAAAAATATAAAGAAAATATAAAAAATGCGTGTTAGAAATATAAAAGAAATGAGTAAATAATTGAAGTTAATCGAAACAAAAGTCAAATTGTATTAAAAGATTCGAATTTCCTATCAACACATAAATTTATCATGCGTAGCTGAATCTCTCAACTATGTTTTTGTTCATAGGCTTCATAACGATCTCGACAGGACATAGACTGGATGTCTACAATATATTCTTCGTAAACTATGACCTATGATCATGTTCGTTCAAGCACCGAGCACATATATCACGTATCCATTAAGTTTGAAAAAAATAAAAAAATAAACAGTAGGAATAGTTATAATATTTATCCTTTAATCAAATATATTCTTTTAGTTGTCAAGGTACATATGCAGGACGACAAGAAATTACCAATATCCTTTTACAAATCTGCAAATTTCTTCGCATCTTATACATTCATCATATTTTGTGTTATAATTTGTGTATTCACGTTCTATCTAAAGATCTTGTAAGTTCTCATACAAATAACAAACTATTATATTTATAATACCTTTATTTCTAGAGCCGTGCGTCGTTGGCAAATGCGTTTACGTGAGATCAGGAACATCAATGATTCTGTCTAAATAAAAATATCCAAATACACCAGAAATTAATATTTTTAAAATTTCAAAAAAAAAGAAGGAATTTTCTGTTTAATTATTGTTTCTGCATATATTGGTATGACTTTAGTCCTTTGAACAATTTTTTTTTTATAAAAATATAGTATTTAGGTTTGTTTTGTTTTTATATAAATTAACGCAAATGTTCCGCTGTCTTATTGATATTAAGTGCTTCCTAGTTTTTAAATAAAAAATTGTGTGAATAAAAAGTTTTTTTTTTGATTCAATGTTGGTTTTATTAATACCTAAATCATTATTTTGATTGGTTTACTTCTAATGATTTACGAAAAAAATTGTTTAAAAGAGGTTCATAAAACCTTAAAGATTAATATCTTAAGAAACATTCCTTTATACACTTTAAGTTGAAAAGTAAATTTTAAATAAAATTCTAAATGATCTAGATTTTTATATATAATGTATTCCAATTTAAATTTTGTGTGAAATTTTTCTGTGTGAAATTTCTTTAAAAATGATTTTATTTATAATATTTATTACAAATGATAAATTTGCATCATTAATATCACTTGAATAGTTAAACAAACAAATACAAACAAACAATTGTACACTATTAGAACAGAGTTGGTTTAATGGAATCTATAACGCTAAAAATATGATGTTTAGAAAGTGTCTTATTTTGTATATATATATTTTATTTAATATCCTGAAAAAATGATCACCAACAATACTAAATATTTAACAAAATTAATATATGATCACCAAATATCAATAAAACAAACATTTCAGGTAATTTTATGTCATAATATTATAAATCCCGTCTCTATACACTTCTACGACATTTCTTAACCTCCTATTACGTGAGAATGTCAAATCAGTTGTACAGTTTGTATGAAATTATTTTGTAAACAAATTCAAATTGTTCACATTTCATTGTGTTTTCACATTTCATTGATTTAGTCGAAAACTATAACAGATAGAATGAATATAAAAT